CCTGGCATATAGCCTCCTATAGTTGCTTCTAGTTCTACCAGATGAAATGCAAGGAGAGAGCTGCGTATGGAGAGGGTGTTCGGGGTCTGACAATATAGAATTCGCTAGTTTCTTACATGACATTATATGTCTATCCACCATGGTGTTAACCAGTGTTGGTTTAACGATACCCCACTTCCTTCCCCTACTAACAGCTTTTAGTGCCCTACGCAGCAAAGTAAAGTCTTTCTTAAGTAGTCCAGGAAAGATTAATGGGGAGCAGTAAAGAGTGATGGTTAGAATACAAGAGTTGACAAACTGAGAAAGCAAAGACTGATTTATACCAAACTGCCTTAACTTCCACTGATGCATTCCAACTCAGAGAACAAATATACACAAGAACAACCAAGCCAACATACAACAATACCAGAAAACAATGAAAGAAACAACACACCAATAACAACAATAAATGAGTTATGTTTATGTCATATGTATATAGTTTATTCTTTTCTTTTCTTTTTCACAGCTCATAATAACTGTTGACTGAGAGAATAAATCAACTGTTTCTGAGTACCATTCATGCATGATGAATAATATTCAGGCTAAATTCTCTTTGTTTTATTTGAAATAGTTATGTATCAATCTTATACATTATTCACTATTCAGAAGAGAGCAAACAAATAATACTAATAATAATTTGCTTTATTCCAAAACAGTACTTGTGATATAAGCACTAGGAATTCTCAGCATTTTTACTACAGTATTGCATCCAGTTAGTACATTATCAATAAATAAAATTCTACATAGATTAAGGAAATCACAGTTCATTATCACAACAACATATTGGGATGTCGGTAGGAAAGCCAAAGTTGAACAGTGTTCGAAGGTGTTAGAAAAGTAGGTGCTGTCATGTTTACTGGCATAAGCGGAAGAAGAAACAAAAAGAGAGAGAGAAAAGGAAAAGAAAGAAAGAAAATATTGTACCTATAAATGATATGAGTTGGAAAGACGAGATCCAGTTCTTCTACTGACTATTTAATGAATTATAGCTATCACGCTTAATGCTTTCTTTATCGCACAGAACACGAGCTAAGTAGGCTATGGTTGAGTTTTTGTACTTGCTGGTGAGAGTATATAGTTTTCTATATAGGCTTCTGCTTTTGCCTGATGAGATGCAAGGGGAGAGTTGTGAGTGAAGAGAGTGGTGTGAGCTAGATAAAATGGATTTGGCCCATTTTTCACATGAGTCCATGTGCCAGTCAACCAGAATATTAACAACAAGCTGGTTAAGTGGCACGTTGCTTACCCTGCTGACAACCTTTAACATCCTACGTAATAAGATATAGTCCTTCTTCAGTAGACCTGGAAAAACTAAGGGGGAACAATAGATAATAATAGGCAGAATGCGAGAGTTAACGAATTGTAGCAGTAAGGGTTGAGGGGTTATTCCAGAATGTCTTAACTTCTTGATGTAGGAGGTAAGACGGAATATTTTCTTAGAAATCATCAAGATATGAGACGACCAGTAGAGATCAGCAGATAGAATGACGCCTACGTATTTTATTTTCGACTTGGTTTCTATTTCAGTGCCATCTATGTTGCACACCTCGTGAGAGCCAACCAGTTTGTTTAGGTAGGATTTATGCCTCAAGGTGAAAGTGACTGTTTGACATTTAGAGGGGTTTAAGGTAAGACCATTTTCCTTGGACCACTGGCTGATTTCTGACAGAAAGCCATTTAGCTTATAGCAGTCACTTTGACATTTGACAGGCAAAGATACTGTCAGGTCGTCAGCATATTTGACAAAATTGATGTCATTTGAAGATGGTAAGTCATGTAGAAAGAAAGAAAAGAGAAGTAGGGGGAGTACAGCACCTTGGGGAACACCAGACTCAGTGAGCACAGCAGAGGAGGATTTACCTTTGTATACGGTGTACTGCTTTCTGTTAGAGAAGTAGGAATACAGCCCGTTAGTGACCCAGGACTCAGTTTTTGTCATAGAGAGCTATGGCAAAGGCTGACACTGATCATATAACCGTTTACAATCAACAATTTGACTGAAATTTCGATAGTGTTATTAGAAGACGGAGATTACCTGAAAAATGTAATGTGATGGTGTATTTGCGCTCGCTATACATTTCGAACAATCTGATCACTCACACACTTACTTGTCAAGTCGATATATATGAAAAAAAATAATAAAGGGCAATTAAATTAAACAAAGTAAGAAATAAAAAGGATTTAAGAATAACTATGATCCTGAGCTACGTATCAATTTCCACAGCCGACAAATGATCAGTGGATGTGTGAAGGAGAAACTGACGCTTTCAACCCCTTCAGTGTGTGTGTGGAGCTAGTTATATTGGCCTCACGCTTTCCAAACGCATCTTCGAACATTATCCGGCATGGTTAGCAAAGGGACAATGTAAGACAATTACTAGCTCAATTCTCGAGCATTTGGTGAACTCAGGCCACATAGCTTCACCATAGTCGTCTTTCAAGATCATCTACGAGGTGAAGCCAAATGGTACAAAGAGCATTAGGTTTCGGTTTTTGTGTATGGTGAAGGCGCTGGCGATTCGTCAATATAACCCCAATCTCTGTATACAGAGGAGGTTTGTCTAGTTCTTATTCTATCTTGGTCTTAAATTCTTCAATGGTCGTTCCCTGTAAAAAAATTTTATTTTTAACTTTTTAATTTTCAATTTTACTTTTAGTTTGCTTTTACTTTAACAATTAATTCACTATTATCACTCTCATATGTTCCTTTTGTACATTTTCACACCCTCTTCACACATGTCAAATGGACAATCAATTACCTTTATTCTCACTCAATAACAATTTTAACCTTATCGGATTTCTCACTTTGTGCCGTTGAGCACCACGTAATTTACAACTTTTAATTTTCACTTCAATTATGTCACCCCCTATTAATCAATAATTAACACAACGTTTGGTAATCCAATCAAATAAGGATTAGCAAGTAAGGTGGGTTAAGAGTAATACTAAACTGTTTTTGAACCCACACACAGGAGGGGGCTTAAGTTTATGAATAGCTATGGCCTCAGCATATTTCAATAAGCGCCCTTGACCATTTTTATAGATGACCTTAAAGGCTGAGTAAACATCAACCTCATGGTTCATCTCGATTAGATGTTTAGCTATAGACGAAGTTGGTAGTCTGACACCTGCATCTATTGGCTTGTCACAATTCATCTGTTTTTCTAACTCTTTTGTGATATGCTCTCCCACCCTCATATGCAAAGCATGTTTACTCCTATCTATGTATGTGTTCACACAAACACACGAAAATTGGTAAATAGTGTGGGATGTGACATAATCACTTGTGCACTTTTGAGGTTTACCGTGGAGCATATATTTGGCTGGTCCAAATATGTTATCGTAGTAGATCTGTAAGGAGACAGGCTCGTGAACACCAGGTACAATAAAGAGAAACTGATAACAGTTAAAGAGAAACAACTGTTCCTAAAATTGCAATTTAATGGGGGACGTGGCTAGTGAAGTCTTACATCTGAGATTATCGAGAGCGATAAAACGGACTTATACTGCCGCCACCCTATGTTTGTCATTTTCCAGCCGACCAATCATGACTGCTAAAGCAAAAGACAAGCTACTTAGCTGTGCTACTTCTATGTGTATCTACAAATTTATTCGCTCCTGTGGAGAGAGCTATATAGGCCGAACAACTAGACAGCTTAACAAACGCATTAATGAGCATCTTCCTTCATGGTTTGCAAAAGCCTCAATAAAATCTATGAGAAGTTCTATTTTGTCTCATTTGAGTGATAGCGGTCACCAAGTGGACAAAAGAAGTGCCTTCAAGGTTATCTATCACACATTCCATCGAGCCTTCTGAACAGAATTTGAACTCCTCCCCTTTTACACATAACAAAGTCATAGGAATTAATTCGAGAGAACAATCCTAGTCTTTGCATACAGCAAAAGAAGTTTGTTCTACCTTTGTCTCTCCCTTGGTCTAGGTGAATTCTAATCAGCCCCTCCCCCACTCTTTCTTATTTTCCACTTCCCTCGTACTTTTATGATACTTATTTAAACTCTGATTATCTGTCCACTTCACCTTTAGTATTATGTAACTTTTAAGATTTGATCTAATTTATTTATTGAATTGTCTACATATACACATATTACTACCTTTGGTATTCATATCGCTACCTACATAAACCTAATTATCATTATTATTTTTGTTATCATTATGATCATCGTTACTGACGACGTTAAGTCGTTTAACACATTATTATTATTTGATCCAAAAAATCACCGTCGCTGGTTAAATCCCTTTTTACATATAGATCTGTGTAGATTAGAGTAAAGCCTTAAGAAGATCTAATTGAAAACAACAATTCCATGGCCTGAGTGGTCTAGTGCATGACGCTTTGGCGTTTGAAACTGTGGGCACTGGGTTCGAGCCTCGGTGGGAACATCGTCACTTACTGGAGAATACAGATATATCCAGTGGCTAACGAGTCCCAAACAGGACGAAATGCACATCCTGATTGGATTCCACTGCTGGTAAACATCCACAAATTTACTTAGCCATAGTCTAAATTATCCACAAAATTTTGTAGATCCATTCTATGGGATGCATATTAGAAAAATTCTGGAGACATCAAAAAAAAAGAATCTAGGCATTCAGTTCACTTTCATTTACTATATGCAGCGGTCTGCTTAAATCGCCGGGCTACCGAAATTACTTTCCACCAAAATCAGGTGACCCATACATGGACTTGCCCGCTGATTTAACTTTCTTCCAAGTAAACGCTGTGCAATTCTTCAAAGAAATGAAGATATATACTTCAGATTATTACTTTACGTGTAATTCCTGTTTGAGGAAGAAAGTATTTTGGAATTAAATATGTTGAAAATGTTTGTACTTTACGTTCTTATATAGTATGAAATAAAGCTTTATGATTATTATTATTATTAATTTTCAAACATGCAGATAAACATGTATTACATCAAAAGAGAAAGGTTAAACTTGCCTCATATTTCAATTGTTTTATTTCAGCTGTCAATTCTTCAATTTGTTTTACATAGTGCCATTTAGCGCGTAGTTCTGTTTCTAATATCTGTGAAAGATGTAGTTGTTTCTGTTCAGCTTCTTGTTTTAGCTCTAAAAGTTTACTGAAACTGAAAAAAGGAAAATTGGATTAGTATAAATTACAAGTTGCAATCTGCTTACAATATGAATCAAAACTATCGGTGACAAGACACACTATTGTTCCAATAAAACGAATAGAAGAAGGTTAACTGCACACTAGTGTTTATAGAAAACCAACGCATTCTGCTAATAGATATTTAGATTTTAATTCGTCTCATCCCTTATCTGTCTGTGAAGGTAGGCTTAGTTAAGTGTCTAACAAATTGAGCAGCAGCGCTAAGTAGCACAAGAAAAGACCTAAATGATGAAATAAAACAGATAGAAGAGGCGTTGGTGTTAAATAACTATCCTATAAAATTCATTAGGAAGATAGAAAAAGGCCAAAAGTAAAATAAAAAGAACTGTAAAACTAGTAATGATAACATATATAAGAGAGAATATAAGTCATCCACTGTTATACCAAATGAGGAGGCGACATATGAGGCCATACGTAGGATTCTGAATAAAGCAGGAATTAGGGTAGCATTCAAACCTACAAACTCACTCAGGGACAGGCTCTGTAGGTTAAAGGACACTCTTGACCCAATTAGACAAAATAATATAATTTACAAAGTACCCTACAATGACTGTGAGTGAGGTCAACTACATAGGTCAAACTAGTAGGTCAGGGGTAGTCAGATTGTCAGAACATAAGAATTTAGCTAAGATAAGAATGGTTCACCCAGAGAAGATGAGTAATTTAGAAAAAAGCTCAGCAATTGCAATGCATGCATTAATACACAACCACACAATAGGGTGGGAGAGGGTTAAAATTCTAAGAAGTAATCTAGGTAGGTGGAGAGCAACAAAGGTTGATTACTGAATCCTTGTTCATCGAGTCTACACCAAACACATGCAATAGGAATGACCCACCACTCATACGGGAAATATGCAAAATGCTACTACCAATCAAATCAAGCTGTGGAAAATAATGGAGCTGTATAATTGAAGTTAGAAAGTTGTATGAGTAGTGCCTTGATATGAATACGAGCACTAATAAATTGTACTTGAAACGTCATCAGTAAACATTACTGTATAACACTGTGAGACTCTATCAAGCAAATTTTACCCATAATGGAAACACACTACTGTTCCCCTTGGGTTCCGAGTGGAACATAGGTTTTCGACAGCACATCTACACTTTGTCCTGTCCTATGTGGCCCTCTTTAGCTGCCCTCACAATTCCCCATAGTCTCTCAGTCAACCTCCTCCACATCACACGATCTCCCTTATGTCACTCCCCAATTGAAGCCAAACTTGTCGTTTCCATTTTAAGTTCCACCCCGGTAACTGCGTGGCGCGCGATGTCATCAGTGATCTCTGCGGTGGGTGTCCAACCCATTCAGCATGTTTGGCGATTGGTTCGTTCCAAGAGTTTATTGTTGCGAAATTCTTCTGACACCTATCTGATATTCAGTATGGTGTCAGAGAAGCGGGCAAGTGTTGATAAAAGTCAGTAGTGACATGTGAAGTCAATGCTACTATACGGATCATAAAGAGCACCTCGAACAAACTACAGACCTTCATTCACAGCTGTCTTCGCTCAATACTCAAGATCAGATGGAGGGCCAGAAAAGATCAGCAGCAGGGATCTCTGGCAATGAGCAACCCAACCCAGCAGGAACCAACTGTGCAACAAATAAACAGGAATAAATTGAGGTGGATTGGCCATACTCTGAGGAAACCATCAAGTGACATCACTAGACAAGACATTGCTCGAGTGGAACCCGAAAGGGCAGCGGCGAGTTGGGCGTCAGTGTTAGGGTGACTTGGAGGAGGTGATGTGAAGAGGAGATGAAAGCGTGTGGGCAGACTTGGAGCCAGGTGAAGACTCTAGCAGAGAACCGAACGCAATGGAGACGCACGGCTGAAGCCCTATGTTCCTCTAGGAATTAAAGGAAACAATAATAATAATAACCTGTTGGAAATGATTTTCTTGACGTGAATGCCATGTTTCTGATCCACAGAGAAGAACAAAGGTGTTGAAAATTCGAAGTTTTTCTTTGTGATGAAGGGGGATTTCCAGAATTGATTTCAGTGTGACGAAGATCTGCCTTCTTTTACTGATTCTGATTTCAACACTGTCACTTATGTGACATGTGCGTCGGTGGCACAGTGGTTAGGACTCTCGCCGACCATGCACATGGTCCGGGGTTCCATCCCCTGCCGACGCACACCCGATATCTATGGTCGGCCTGTGAAATTTGGGCTACCGATATCCATGCTGAAAATTCCATACTTGTACTGAAAATACGGTGTGGCATCAAGCTGTAATCAAAAAATATATAGAAATAAAAATGTCAGTAGATGAGATGATGCTTCGTAGATAAGTAACGAAAGTGATCTGTTTCAGATTTCTCCAGTTAGTACTGATTAGCGCTTGTTGCTGTCAGTTGGTTATCTTCATCCCCTCTGTCTTCTGTATATTCACTTAGAACACTGTCCATCCTACTCACCTCTTCTTGCGTCATCTTGATGGTTAGCTAATTTTCTAGCTGATCCTAAGCCCAGGAAAAGATGGAAGGTTGCAAGGGGGCTAGTGACCCTGTGCTACAGAAATTTTAAAGCACAAGAGACGAGACAGTATAAGCGAACAGTATTGTTCTCAGGTAGATTCTCCTCAAACTTTAATTTATACTCTAATACACACATATACATGTATCTTAAACTGTTTTTATTCATGTGCGTTCCCAGTGGAACATAGAGCTTCAGCCTAGAGGCTTGAAGTTTCTGTAGCAGTGGTGTTTACTTTTAAGGGATGGGGTTGCTAGCCAGCCTCATGCCCAAACTTCCCTCTTTACCAGTCTTATTACTGGCTTAGCGAGGTGAGGGGGTGCGTCAGTGGCCAGGGGTCGAACTGCGGACGAGCATTCTACCGCTGTGCCACCGACGCACAACTTAAACTAATAACAGCTCTTGTCGTTCACACAGTATGTTCACACAGAAATCGACTAGTGACCGTCGACTTCCCAGCAATCTACCTATTAAATTGCTTAGTAATTAACCTTATAAGTATTCCCGCAGAGGCATAAAGAAATATCAGAACTAGATAGCTTATATTTTCCAAGAGGAATGATGACCAGTCGACTGTGATGTGAGAAACATCGAGTGGCAGTGGTATAGTGGATTTTTTTTATTGCTCTTCAGTGGTCTCTCATAAAGAAATTCTCCGACCATATCTATCTACCTCCCCAGTGTACCTCAGATTCGTTAACTTTAACAAACATAAGTAGACATAACAGTGAAGAAAGATTTCTTTTCCACGCGGTAGTTTAAACGACTGTGGAACCGCATTGTATTTAACAAATCTGAGGTGGAGGTTTGAAGAGAATCAAAAAGTTGAGCCTAGTAAATGACCAGTATACACAAAAGATAATATGCAATAGAGAAACGGTAAAGTGTCTGCAAAAAATCTATAAAACACAAAGTGATTGAGCAAAGAATGTCCTTTTCGATAAATTCCTCTTCCAGGCTCTACAATTATATATGCATGTTTATATACATAGAATATTCTAGAACATTGGTCAATAACAATATTAGTGTGCTTTTTAAATAATATCGATTTGTAAAGTAAGATCGCAATGGAATTACAGTTCATTAAAGATGCTTAAATTATAATCATAATAAAGATATAGTAGTAAAGAGAATATCAACTAAAATTAGGAAAATTCCACAAAAATTGAGGATCATTCAAACCTGGATGACCAAGGTAATGATAATGTCTGAACTAACTACTTTTGGATGCACAAATTAGGCTTGTTAATATGGATCCCCACAGCCTCAGCAATATTTAGTGGTCGAACTCTTAAAGCAAAATTGAGATTCGTAGGTATGCGCTAAATGACCCTGAAAGCATGGTTAACGTCAATCTTGTGTTCTGTCTCCACAAGATGAGATAGAATAGCGCTGCGAATAGATTTTGTTTGTCCTTTGCTTAACCACTATGCAGGTTGATTTTCGGAAATTTGACGAGAAACACGACTAATTGTACGGCCTATGTAACTGGCTCACTCCACAGGAGCCAGAACCTACAGAAACTGGCAACAATTCACCCATATAATTTACGTTAATTTTGTCGATAAACTTAAAAGAAAATTTCATAATATCAGTTAGAGAACCACTGAAAACCATCAAGGAGGGAGTATTGGACGGCTGTTTCGCCCCAGTTTTGGACTGATCACCAATTAATGATTCCAATTCGACTGACACTAGTTGGTGTCATCGGGACGTATTTTTCCTCAATGGCAATCGGGTTGACCGCGCCAATTTGTCACTACTCCTCATTATCACTCCAGTCGACTTCGTCAAGAGTTTGATCAAGTTTGATCACGGATTAATGCCAGTAAGAGAACCTTAATAGACAGAAGAGAAGTAGTTCAGCGAAGAGTCTCTTTTCGGCGAATTCATATTCATAGCTGTACAATCACGATTGTACAGCTCGTACTCATGAAGAATCCGGAACTAGGACGAAGGTTTGAAACACAGATGAATTTGTTTTTGGCGTTGTTCCATGCTCTGCAACCCAAAACAGTTTCAGCGTCCTCTTAGAGAATGTGCAGTTAACGTTGCACAATGTTATGCACTGGGCGACTGGAAGCTTATTATATAGACCTGATTTTTCTAAAAGCATCCTGGTTCAAAATGGATACCCCTCGCGATTCGTGGAGAAGAACATGAAACCAAGGCCAAAAACAGAAGAATACACTTCAGTGCCCAAAAAACACTTTATTTGAATCTGGAATTCAGAGGGGACCTAGTAGCAGATATCCCTGAAGAAGACTTTTCCTACAGCAACTCTAATAGTGATATTCTGTGGCCTCCCAGTACTTTAGAGCAACGGAAAGGACAAACTTCCACACATGTCCACTTCAGTGTGCATATATCAATCCACCTGGTCGTGAGGAGCTAGGTACATAGCTCATTCTATACGTGCGTTATCAAAACCTTTTAGAGAACATCATCCAGCATGGCTGCCAGCAGGAGGCACTGG